TTGTTGTTGGGGGCGATATGCTGACTCTGTAAACCGCTTAGAGAGGGCTGAAAGCCCTATGAAGCGGTATATAAGTCTAACTGCTATCTCCCTCCGGGGTTCAGAAACCCCACAAGAGCATCTGGGACAGATTTCCAAGCTGGGAATTCAGGGGAAAGGGACCAAAAAAAAATGCCCTCTGCACATGTGCAGAATTTCTCTCTCTCTCTGAATATCTCCTCTTGGTCCCCACTTCCATTTTCCTGTTCATTAACGTGCCTTCTACTCAAGACCCAAATCCTTGCTGCAACATTAATGTCGAGTACGGGTAGTCTTTGACTTACGACCACAATTGAGCCCCAAATCCATGTTGCTAAGCGAGAAGTGAGTTTGGCCCCCATTTTACGACCTTACTTGCCCCGTTAAGTGAATCCCTGCTATTGTTAACTTAGTCACATGGTTATTAAGTGAAGCGCTGCAGTTATTAAATTAGCGACACGATGGTTAAGTGAATCTGGCTTCCCCTGATCGGAAGGGGAATCGTGGGACCCCGGGACGCAGCAATCGTCATAAATGTGAGCCGGTGGCTAAGCATCTGAATGTAAATCATGGTCGTGAGTCACTTTTTTCAGGCCCGTTGTCACCTCAAACGGTCACTAAGCGAACTGTCGTATGTCGAGGACTCCCTGTACTATTTCTGTTCCTGTGCATAATTTTTCCCAAGGGGGATTCGCACACGTGACCCAGAATGTCTTTTTTTCCCACGTTGCAGGGATATCGGCCCGCATCAAACCGTCCGACTCTGCCAGACCTTCACCCCGCTGCGTGCTGGACGCCGCCAATTGGTTGCCAGCTTGGACAGCCCACAGCTCTCCCAGGTCCACGGCGTGATGACCATCGACGTAGCCCAGAATCCTCCACCAGGCCCGTCGGCCTCTCCGGCACCTGCTCGGGGTTCTCCCGCCCGGGGTCGCAGCTCCCCCGGCCGTACCCGAGGCTCCCCTGCGGCCACCCGAGCCTCCCCCGCAAGGCAGCCCGCCAACCACAGCACCCCAGCCAACGCCAACGCCAACACCAACGCCAACACAAATGCACGGGGTACCCCCAGCCGCCAACCCAACCCTGGAGGAGTGGCCAATGCTCACGGGGCGGCAGCCACTTCCAGGCCAGGGGCCACAGGGCGGCCCGTTTGAGCCTGCACTTAACCGCGGTGCCGAGTGTGATGGGACAGCACAACAGAATCAGGTGGCGGAGAGAAGAGGGGGGCCATTGCCCGAACCACGGAACCACAGTGGGGTATGCCGAGCCCACGAGGCCGGTGAAAAATATGCATCTCCTGGGAGTGACCTTCCAGAAACTTCTCCACCTCATCATCCACCGATTTCTCTTTCTTCGTCTTTGTTCCGCTCCATATTTCCCCCACCCCCGTATATAATCACCCGATCGAGTTGCGATTTCTAGGGTCGAGATCAACGTTGGGCACAATTCGAAGCGTCTTCCTTTGTCTCACACCGTTCCCCTGAGATGTGGGTCGAGGACTCGGCTGCCCCTCCAGCTCTGGGACCCCATCTCCCCACCCCAACTGCCCCCAGAGGTGTGCCACCCACCCACGCCACCCTGTGCAAAGAATTCCCCCGTACGTTGATTACTTGACACGTCTGTTTCACCGCGAAATTTACTCCCTCTGTTAAAACGCACGCCGATTGTCACTTGCACGCACGCTTGCTTCCACTAACGGTGCAAAAAATCTCCAGCGGAGAAGCGATAAGTTGGCTTTTCAAATTATGCTGATCACTTGAACCAAAGGGATTTTCTAGGAATTTTCTCCACATTCTCCCCCCCACCCCCCCTGGTTTGGACAGATTCAGGGAGTTTGAATGGGCTGGGGGGTGGGATTTTATTAGCTTTCCTTTTTTTAATTTTTCAGGATTTGTCCTGGAAGTGTATTTTTAAGTGGAAATCAGATTGCTGAGGAGGGTTAATGCAAACTAAGTTGGCTAAGCGGGCTTCTGCCGTTCACGCAAATTAAAATGTATGCAAATCCGAAGTGTCGAGAGAGCTGATCATGTAACCTTAACGCTGAGCTGAGAAAGTTTTTAATTCCTAGCCAGATTCTTAACTGTTCATTATGTTTGCTGTCGTGCTGCATTTAACCTATATGGACAACGAATGAAGCAAAAAGAAAAGAAAAAGAAAAAACTGTATTTTTGTGTGTGTTCGTACTAATATAGGTATTTATTTGAAAATAAATGATTTTTAACTCCTAGGGTGCTTTTTCTTAAAAAAATAAGTGTTCTGACCCCCCTCGTCCCACACCAAAGCACTCCGAGCCAAAGATACTTGACAGAATTTATTAACAGACAGACAGGTCCTTGGCA